CCTACTTGTTGAAATGCTGAACTAGCGCTTGAGTGTAGTAGCGCATTTATTTCGTCCGTGTCCCCCTTTTTGCTCGTCCCTTGCCCCTGTCGCGGAGGTCCTGTACATGAGCCAGGTCTCAACTCCTTGTCCCCGGTAAAGGGGGTCGGTTCAAGGGTGGCGATTGCATTCGTGCTGCTGACGCTCGATTGTCTCGTCAGCCATGCAGGCAAATGATGGCAACCCGGGACATGTGTTGGCTTGGCCGGACTGTCGGCAGGCCGGCCGCAACTTGTGGCTGCCGCTACTGCTGCTGCGGTAAGCTGTCTTAGGTACAGCTGGTAATAGTACAGGCTAGTGTTGCCGTTAGCGTGGCTTCTGCTGCTAGCCTCGTTGACGGAGATGGGAGCTTTGCTCGAGGTGTGCTCTGCTGTACCGCCTGAAAGGAGAGCCTTGTCACAGTCTGCAAAAGGTACAGTGGCCGGTGAATTGTCCGATTCTATTGTCGGAGAAGGTTGTTGCCCATTGCCATTGTTGGTGCTAGCAGAGGGCCTTGAAAAAGGGGAGGTATGTGGAGAAAACGACTTCTTTCGCAGATACCTTTTATGCTGAATGGCATTATGGCGCCTTTTGCACAAAGGTGTGACAGAATTGGTCGTTAGGCTCAAGGGTAGATCCGACAGCCCTTCGCCAAGAGCATTAGTTCGTTGACCGACGGGCGGATTAGGGCCGGCCTCGGCCGATTCAAACGAGAATTGCCGTCTCTTTGCAGAAGGCTGGAAAATGTGCCGTCGCAGCGGTCGTATATCCGATCTGACACTATTCATAGCCTGACTTTGGGCAATCTTGTAACCATCTCGTTCTACCAGGGATGACTTTGACGAGGCGTCTGGTCCTGGCAGCAAGTGCGACGAACCGGTGGACGTGGACGTGGACGAGGCTGATTTAGCTATTTCACCAGTGAATTCATCCCGCTCCTGATGAAGGCATTGGTCTTGCTTCAGTTTGGAAACTGAATCATGTTGGCATGATGAGGTGGTGCCGATTTCTTTTTCATCCTGATCCTCCGGTTCTCGGTAGAAGGCTTGGAAATGACGTGACTTACTGGTT